ATGTTGATATTGATATAATAATCATGTTAGCGGGAGCGTGATTATTATTTTAAGCGTTGCAAGTTAGCAATATTAATTATAGAAAACAAAAGTTTCACTTTGCAAAGTTGTAGGGGTTGAAAAGTTGTTTTGGTATAATTAAGGGAGAGAATATTATACTTCATTTCAAAATCTAAAAGCTTGGATCGAGAAATTTTAATCGAATTTAGTCAGAGGACATATATGGATATTATGTTGAAAAGATTCAACATAAAAGAATTCTATGTATGGAAATATTATAGCAAGAAATTGGTAAAGTATCACGTCTTTCAATATGAATCGTGTCCCATAGCTTCTGGTATAGGATCGATTACATATTCTGTAATATTCAAACGTTCTAAATTTTCCAAATGTCTAGGGCATTAAGAGGGAAAAAGGACTAGAATTGGATTTGACTAAATTAATTAAACAACTATCAAGGACAATCTAAGGTTCACCAAGGATTGGTCGCTTATAGACAACTGGAAGTATAGTAATACATGGACCATATTGACATTATTATGAATAGATAAGACTCTATTTAGAATGAGTTGTCATATGGCAAATATTAAAACATTTCCATATTGGGAGTTGGATATCAGGAATCTATGTCTAGATTAGAAACTTTTATGTAATAAGGATGTTCAAAGAAAAGTACTTTGAATGTGAGACTTCATATCTATGGAATTGTCTTGTAACAATCTCCAATAAAGGATTTTGTAATTTTATTGGCAAAGTCTTTGTGATTTTGGTGCTATGACATTACAAAGGGTCATTGCATAAAATGTTAGAATCAAACATATTCTAAATAAGTGGGAAGAATTTGGTATTATTACACTTTGCATGTTTTGACTTCCAGGATAACTAGGTTATTCAAACCATCCATAGTTGATCATACTTTGGAAGTAGGTATGAAAGAAGACTGTCATGAATCTGACTGTAGATTGTCTAAAGTGTCTTAGACATAGCAAAAGTTTGTTGCAGTATTCATGAGTAGTCCTATAAGATTAGAGTATTGGATTAAACCCACACTCACTTGGATCTCTTCATGGATTTTATCACGAGTGATTGGTGAGACGATAATATCTTATATTCTTGAAACCGAGATGTGTGAGTTGTATTCTGCAAGTCGGTTGCACATTGGTAATATGTAAATGCACAAGTAACTTGGTGTTATAAAACATATAGTTGTGTGTGATTAGATGAGTAGGTACAAGCGAGCATTTGAGTCGAAGTTTATTCGTTCCTTTTACCCAAAGTGGGATAAAAGCGATATTTGTGGGCCCCGTGATAATTTAGTGATGACACCCTAAGCATTTGGCCAAGCCGAGACTGAGTTGATGTGTTCAATTGTAGTCTGTTGTCAGTCGTCATAAATCGGAAATCGGGAAACAACACATGAACAAAGAGTATGATTAAAATCCATGTCCCAGTTCATACGATATCCAGAATGGAGGAATATATGATCCCTTATCTAAAGGATGCGCTACTGATAAGATCAGAGTTGACAGCGGCTTTTGAAAGCTACGATTGCTGATCAGGTTCATAATTCATATGCAAAATAGTTATTAGACTTATCCAAGTGGGAGACTGTTGGATTAGGTTTCTAAGTCCATAACTATTTTGGTATGTACTTGACCCGATTATGAGCATGATCCTTTTGGGTTGCCTTCACCATAGCAACTGATAGGATGAATTAAGGAGAAAGAGGATTAATTATCATTTATTAATATATTATAAGAATAATATATTAAAGAATAAATCATATTGTTTAATTAATATTAGTCAAGAATTAATTAAGAATTAGTTTTGTGGCTAAAAAAGATTAATTAAATAAAGGAATTGATATTGTAATTATATGATAGTTGCAATTGGGATATGGATTCCTAATGGAAAGGGGATTGGACGAAATCTATGGGAAGCCCATATGGATTTCGTCCAAGGGCTTTCTAGAGGGACTCCATGGGTTGCTTAAGGCCTAAGCAGAGAATTAGGGTTTCACCTAAAACCCTAGTAGCCCTCACAAGTATATAAAGACCCTTAAGGCTCCCAAAAATGTGGCTAACCTTCTAAGAGAACCCTAGGACGTTTTTGGAGGTTCCTCCCTCTCTCTTTGTTCATCTTGTTGCTCATGGTGTTTGTGATTCTATTAGAGGTGCAACATTTGAGGCACTAAGCTTTCAAGAGTCAAGATCAAGGAGATTTGTGATTGTTATCGCTACATAACTATCAAGGTAAGATCTAAACCCTTTTATTATGATAATATCGATTATTGTATGCTAGATCTAGGGTTTATGAGCTTTAGATGATTATTGCATGTTCATTAGACAAACTAGATCCAAAGCTTTAGGGTTTGCATGTACACCATAGGATTGATGTTTTGCTCAAAACCCATCAGGGTCAACATTGACTGTTGACCTTGACCATTGACTTGGACTTTGACCAAAGGTTGACTAGTTGACTTCTGGGGTATTTTGGTAAATTGGAAATTTATGGAAAAGGTCTTATGGTAAATATAGGTGGTGGAGTTCGTGGTCGTGGTTCGAGAGTTTGAGGTATCACTTCGGTTCAACAATTGAGAGGTGGGTTATCCTCACTATACTAAGGGGCCGAAGGCACCAATGTCGGCCATTGGATATGTTATCCTAGCACTTGATATTATGTCGAGTATGAGTTAGGTTTGTATGCTAGTTGTTATGCCAGTTTGATAGATCTATAGGACTATCTGTATTATTATATGATTATTTGTATGTGCATTAGTTATGTTATATGTCAACATATTATGTGGGTTGGGTTGATGTTGTATTGCTCCGTACGGTAGCCAAGAAACCCTAGAGTATTCCAGATATGAGTTGAGGGTCGGGCGGGGATTGCCAGTCTCATACTGAGGACTCAGGAGCATTCCAGATACGAGCTGAGGGCTGGTTAAGGTATGCCAAATGCGTACTGTGGGCTCGGGAGCATTCCAGATACGAGATGAGGGTCGAGTGGGGCATACCAGACTCATACTGTGGGCTCGTTGGTAATCCAAATGTGAGCTGTGGGCCCGGAAGGTAATCCAGACTCATACTGTAGACCCATGGGTAATCCAATCTATAAAGTCGTGGACCCAATACATGATGTTATTTGTATATGTGTTATGTGCAGTGTATCGGTATTTTTGGGGGAACTCACTAAGCTTTGGGCTTGCAGTTTTAGTTTTGTTTCAGGTACATCAGATGATCGCGGGAAGGCAAAGGCGTGATCGTACAACTCCTCATGGTTATGACTTGTTTATGGGATACTTTGATATTATACTATTTTGAAAACAAGTTTTGTAATAATTAATTGATTGAAATGTTTTGAAAAAGTTTAAATTTGGCATGATTTTTATGGATGTTACAAGTTGGTGTCAGAGCCTTGGTTTGAGTGAATTGGAGGAACACTTGTGTGAATCCAGTCTCAAACTAAGGAAAATATTTTCAAAATAGTTTTCAAAAAGGTTTTCAAAATATTAAAGGAGGATGCAGGGTGTACGATCAGCTGGATCCAGTAAGTAGACCCCAAATACCATACAGATTATTTGATATTGTGATATGTTAGAACAACATGCTAGTGCTAGGCTAAGGATCTTCAGGAATTGCATGATATAATTGCATGATTACATGATGCTTGATAGCCTAGGGTTTCCTTATTATAGCAACCTATTTTCAGATTGGTATTGGTCTCACAACTATAACTTCATTAAATCGTATACTTTCTTATCAACTTAAAATTTTGTAATAATCAAGATAATCTCCCTTATAGCATTAAATGACAAAAATACCCTTGTATAGTAGGTCATCTTAGTCGGCTAGAAATGGAATGGACTTAGATTCAATTTTGTTCCTTTGTTATACAATGGTTTGGTTTGTAAAGCTTTCAAAGGAAGTGGAATGAAAGTTATGTTAAATGACCAAAATACCCTTGTGAAATTGGTTCATCTTGGTATAGGGTTCATGTTATCTAATAAGTCCATTTTACTTGGCAAGAAAAGGAATGGAATTTAATTCCACTCTCTTGTTGTTTATATTAGTTTGGTCTGTGAATCAGTTAAAAGAATTGGAATGTAAATTATTGTTGAATGACCAAGATATCCTTTTTGTATTTGAACAGGGATTTGATCCTTACACCACTTCTTTAGCACCGTATGGACATGAATAGCAACAAGGTAGGTGCTTGAAATAATAATATTCATCAGTTATAACATAAGTGGATTTAAAAGGAAAAACACTAGTGTAAATGTGTAAAGAAATAGTGTTTTAATAGATTAAGCCTTTTTTGCCCTCAACTCATTATGTCATTAAGTGTGCGTTGTTGAGAGGGTAATTTTGTCTTTTCTATTTGAAAATATTTATGTATTTTCTATTTTTTTTTTTATGTTTCCAACCCGTTCTTCCCTAATTTATACTATTATTTATAGTTCTAGTGTAAATGTATATTTTTTAGACAAAATTGCAAAAAGGTCCTTATGGTATGCAAATTTTTGGGATTTTAGCCCAAACCCCGAGTTTTTGGATTCATGGTCTTTTTGAGCTAGTTTCGTTATGTTTTTGGTCCCTCAGAAAATTAAAAAGACTAAAATGCCCTTCTGATATATTTTTATGATTTTTTCTGTTTAATTTAAATTTTTATTAATTATAATTATGGGGCCCACCCCTCTCTCTCTCTCTCTCTCTCTCCCTCTCCCTCTCTCTCTCTCTCTCTCTCTCTCTCTCTCCAAACCACCCTATTTGCGTAAGTCAATTCAGAATGTTTGCACCTCAACCTACATCCAAAAATCATACCTCTCTTAAGATCCATCTCACTTATTGATTCCTTCTTGCTTTAAACAACCTCAATATGAAAAGATCAACTTTTGATCACACCCAGAACCATAAAAGGTATCACCGTGTAAAGATTGCAGCCTACACATCAATGGCTTCTGTGGTTGGACCAAGAAGAGCTTAGAGCCATGTGATTTTATGGAAGATCAAAAAACGAGGAGAAGAAACCCTAATAGAGAACATGTTAACCCGTTTTGGAATTCGGGTCTAGAAGTGAAGCTAAGGAGGCTTGTATCTGGTGCTGAAACGATGGATCCATGCGATTTGTTGGATGGAACTGTTGATTTATATAAAGCTAGGTCGAAGTCATGAAAACTCTGGTAGAGAAACGCAGTTGAAAAAAATTCAATTTTTTTTACATGCATGAAACCAACTTGATCGGAGAGATACCCAAAAACTTCAATTGATATCTATTGATGTAGAATCAAGACAATTGAAACTTTGAATGATAAGGCACTTCAAGATCTGGAGAAGGTTGTGTCGCCATGGTTAAAATGTACGAATTCAACAAAAGTCCTGGTGATTGTCTCTCAACATATTGAAGGTGATGGGGGGTGGAAAACGATGGTATTAGTTAACAAGATATCATCCCCTGTAGGCAAAGAACGGTGAAGGATATCGGGTTGATTCTGGTAATCCGATGAGAGAGAGAGAGAGAGAGAGAGAGAGGGGGATGTGGGCCAGTTGTATATTTAATAATAATATTAATAATTTAAAAAATTAAAAGAAAAATAATAACTAAATTCATTAAGGGTATAATAGTGATTTTAGTTTGAATAGGAATCAAAATTACAAATAAACTAACTTAAATCCAAAAACCTCAAAATTTGGATCAAAACTCTAAAAATTTACATACTACCACCATTTTTGCAATTTTATCTATTTTTTAATTAGCAAGTATGAGCACACGTGTATATGATATATGAACGGCATAATCTATTTTGAAAAAAGCAAAATACCAAAGACCCAAACACCCCCTTCCTAGCGGCCGAATCGACTCGATCGACAAGTGTATCTCCCAACTCCCAAGTCCCAACCGCTCGTGTACGCCCTCTTTAGTCTTGGCAGGCACATATATCACTGTTTGTTCTGGTTACCCCAAACGATTAATCATACGCTTAGATCAATCGACGTTAATTCAAACTCTGTAAGTATCAATTTCTCTTTCTTGCCAATATTAAACGGATTTTGCAATCGTGTTGCTGATTTAGGGTTTCCTATTACTCTTTCTTCAGTGATTTGTAGCTCTGGATCGCATTTTGTTTGAATTCGTTCTTAGTTATAAAAAATATGTACTTTGTCCATTTCATTTCCTTAGAACCGGATGCCCTGTTCGTTTGAGAGGGGAAGTCCATGAGAGTTATGGGGTTTGAAGTTTTCGAAATTCTATAGCTGCATGGTTTATTTAAACATTTCTATCGCCGTGCTTCATTAAAACGTTGTTGTTCTTAATTCCAGCGCACAGATCCGTACCTTGTTTTTGAATTATTGGAGCAATGCTGTTAGGTCATCACTGTCACATCAAATATTCAAATGTTTTTTCTAGGGTTTCTGTTAGAGAAGACATGTCAAATTAGGTTTATTAGCTAGGTGAATTCCTTGATGCTGTTAACGATCTCATCATAGCTAGGTTTCTTTAGTGTGGAAATGATGTATGTAGCTAGAACTGGATTCATAACCTAAATGAATAATCTAAAGTACAGTCTGGAAGTTCATCGTTTGGATGGTTTCTAAGGCAAGGTGTTGGTCTGTTGGAGTCTCGATCTTAACTTGTTAATGACTTGTGAAATGGTTGGCTTGTTAATTTGTTGATTGCTGAAGGTTTTGGTGTAGGACTGGTTACTTCTGTGAAGTTGCTGATAAAGTTTTTGCATATAGAATTCAACAATTATGAGTTTTGTCTTTCGAGGGAGTAGGGGAGACATTGAAACCGGGTTTCCTGGATTTATACCTGAACGTCGCTCAGTGGTATACCCTATATATTTTATATATGTTTATATGGCTAAACCCATTAATATTGTGCTAAATTTTTGATACTCTATTTTCAGAGAATCCATGCAGCCCGACCTGTTAATACAAACTCTCTTGCCTTTCTTGTCACAGGTACATATGTGTTGTTGTGTATTTCATTTCACACAAATAGATACTTAATTTCATCCTTATCTGTGTTTCCATTTTACAGTTCTTTTGCTGTTCATGATATTGAACTCGCACCAAATGTCACCAAACTTTCTGGTAACCTGAATTTTTTTCCTCTTTTTTATATTTACAGTTTTCCTTGTGGATAGATAGTCTTTTAATGTGTGTTTCTTTTTCGATGATTTAGCTTTGGCTTGTACTTGGTGTGTTTTTGATGGCTACAAGCCTAAGAATGTACGCCACCTGTCAACAACTTCAAGCCCAAGCACAAGCAAATGCTGTGGCAGCTAGTGGGCTCCTTGGTCATACTGAACTGCGGTTGCAGATGCCACCTTCCATTGCACTTGCCACACGAGGCCGATTGCAAGGCCTCCGGCTACAACTTGCACTTCTTGACAGGGAGTTTGATGATTTAGGTACACGTTTACTGTCTGTGATGTATATAAAAAGCATTCGGATTTTTATTTATTATTACGTCTTTTTACATGTTTGTAGATTATGAAACTTTAAGAGCACTGGATAGTGATAGTGGTCCAACAGCCAATTCAATGACTGAGGAAGATGTAAATTCTCTTCCTCTCCATAAGTACAAGGCTGCCAACAACAACTCTAAAAGGTAATAATTTATCATTGGCTTCACTGTTAATTAAATAATGTAATTATGAAATTTATGGATATGCATGTTTTAATATGTCAGTGGCAGTGGGAGCTTATCAGAGGAACAAGGTTCATCTTCAGCCACCTCAGAGGTAATTACTAATTGTATGATATATGTATATATTTTTTGTTATATACATTACATATATTTGAATGAATTTGTGTAGCAGAAGAAGGTGGAGAGTGGTGGAAATGGAAATGGAAAAAGTTGTGAAGATGAATTGACATGCAGTGTTTGTTTGGAGCAAGTTAATGTAGGTGAACTGGTTCGTAGCTTGCCATGCTTGCATCAGGTAAAACATATTTTCAAAAATTAATGAAATTTGGTACAAAATAAAAAAATTGAATTGTGTATTGTGTGTTTGTTGTAGTTTCATTCAGAGTGCATTGATCCATGGCTACGACAGCAAGGAACCTGCCCTGTTTGCAAGTTCAGAGTTGGATCTGCATGGAGGCATGATGAGAACCAAGAGGAGATGGATGATGATGAGGATGATGATGATGATGCATCACTTGGAGTTTGATCCATCCGATTTAGCTTTTGGGCATTTGCAATTAAAGGAAAAAGACATTTAATGTTGATAATACACAACTACTTAACTGGAATACCTGTATGGATGAAATAGGCTCTGATTGTATGTAAAAAAAGCTAACAAATGTTACCATATGGGAAAAATAACAACAATAACCAACTCCCATATCATATGAATGGGCAAGGGCATGCCATTTTACAAACTTCCATCTTCGTCCTGTTCCCTCTCCTATGATTTTATCTACACTGTATGTATTAGTAAACCCTCCCCCTCACTAATTTTAATCGCTAATTCTTCCAAACACATACAAACAAAGATGAAGATGACGATGATCTCCTAAAAATGAAATGAAGTGTAAGCGGTGTGGGGCTAAAATATATACATACAAACAATAACATAATAAGGTAGGTAAATAGTTAGTAAGTAAGCAAGCAAATACTAATACCAACTTAACCATAAATAAGGATGAAACAGAAGCTAGAAACAAAACTATTATTACAAGCAAAAGAAAATACCCAAGGTGTTTATTCTCAACAGATGATATGCTTTAGTTTAGTTTGACTAGAGATATAAAAATGTTTTAAAAGTAAAGTTTATGTGAAAACAAATAATACTATTTTCCCCCCTTGGCCTTCCCTTTCCCTCCGCCTTTCTTAGCGTCCATCTTGGCCTGGATGCGAGCTGCAGCTGCTGCCTTTGCTTCTTCTCTCTTCTTCTTCTCTTCTTCCTTTTGAGCAGCTGCCATTTCCCTTTGCCTCTTCAGCTCCCTATTTATTATAAAAACATACAAATATATATTAATTTGTAATTAAAATTTTTATACATAAAAAAAAAAAAAAAAAAAAAAAGAAGAAACCACTTACTCTAGTCTAGCCCTTTCATCTGACACACTAGCCACACTAGAACCCTTCCTTGGCCTGCAGGCCACCAGCTCCACCTCAAATATAAGAGTTGCACTGCCAATGCCAAACATACAAAAAACGTCAGAGATGCAAACAAATTCAATTCATGGTTGGGTTTCTAAAATAAAATTAAAAAAAAAAGGGTTGAAGGTAAAATTACTTTGGTGGAATCTCAGGGGGAGAACCTGCAGTTCCATAGGCATAATCCGACTTGCAAGTAATTTTGGCAACCTCTCCAACCTTCATGGTTCTTAAAGCAACATCCCAAGCCTTTATCACAGATCCCTTTCCTATTTCAAAGCTGAATATTGTGTTGTCTTCATGTGTAGTATCAAATACTTCACCTGTCTCTGCCAGTGTCCCTTCATAATGCACTGCCCAATTCACAAACACCATAACATATCCATCCAATCAGATATTATCTATACTAAAGAATCCAAGCCAATCTGTTTTATTAGTTTTGGCTGAATACCATCAACAAGAGGTAGGTTGTCACATGGCCCAATTGCTTCAGGTTTGGCTCTCTTCACAATTGTCTTCATCACACCTCCATCTCCAGTCAAATCAATTGTTTCAGCCATACCTCCCCTCCTAACTGGGGTCGCCTCAACATAAAAATAGAGACAAAGTAAGATCATCAAAATACCACCTGCTTTACTTCCTCTTCAGTTCCCAATTTTATGAGTATATATTAATAGACATGCAACTGCAAACTAATTCAACTCCAACATATAATAAAACCATCTACCCCAGATGTGGATTATGTATTGTTTTTTACTCATCTGTCAGACATTCATTTTTAAATAATGAGCAAAAATGATTCCTCACTTAACTCAACTCTGGTTGAACCCTATGAGTTTCCAATATAAAAATCTTCAAGCCTACTACTCACAATCATGAGCATCAGACCATAATATTTGCAAAACTAGACTTATTAATGAAATATAGAGAGTATCTGCATCTAATTACGACATTTCAAAATCTATCCCCAACTAACAAAACCCTAGACTCCTAGACCACTCCATAACAAAAATTCACACACATCTCAAGCTCGAATCCCACAAATACAACTCCTATGATACACAAAGTACAATTAACAGCGATTTCGAAAAATGCACAGCTCGATAACAACTAAAACACATCGAACTCGATACCAACTACAGAATTTAAGACATATGTTGACAGATAGAAATCCTAATTATTAAGACCAGAAAACATTCAAGAAATTTATAAGTACCAGTTGCCGGAGACGATTGAAGTAGCGTGTAAAAGCTGCGGCGAAAATGGAAGAAATCGGAACGGCGATTTCACGGGAAAATTGCTGGCCATACCCTTCCGGTTTGTTTCCTTTTTCTTCTATAAGTGCCGCCCCGCTTTTCTTATAGGCTGAATGAGAATAAGAATAAACTGATCGCCACCACCACGCGCGCGCGGCGCGTGTGTTAGGCTAATATCATTTATAATCTTATTAACAATTATTTTTTGCAAATATTTTTAAATTGATAAGAATGCTTAATACTTTCTGATTTCTATACAAATTTAGTCTTTGAACTCTAAACAAATACTCAAAGATCAATAAGGGGATATGATTTGGGAGAAAGAACATTTTTGGAGACGGGTTGCCAAACATGGCAAACCAAAAGAATTAGTGTTCTTGAATAGGCCAATAGCCGCGAATTAGGGTTTTTCAATAAACAGCGAATGCTTGTCGCGTCCTTACTTAAGCGCGTCACATGTAAGGGTTTTTCTCAAAACCCATATTCCTTATCAAAGACTTGATAATTTCAGAAACAGGTGTTACAGTTCGAAACGAATCGATTGGTTTTCGCAAAATAAAAAACGGTTAAATCGGACTTGGTGGTCTTTTCATAACATACAATCTAATATCCTCTAACATAGTGATGATTGAGTTTTTCCTTGCATCCCAGATGACATTGTTAAAGTTCTCAAATAATCTATTTCTCCACTGTATCACACATCATTCCTTTCTGAAAGAATGCTATACTCCAAGATTTGGGGTTTGTTTCCATAAGATAAGCAAAGACTGCAAGGTTAAGCACTTCAATCTCGTTCATGAAGCATTGAATAAAGGCTCAATGGATGCCTTGCTTGCCTTCGAAAACATGGCCTTATAGTGTACACCACTAAATCTTTTCCTAAAGTTGACAACAATATGCCATGCACATTGTAACAACGTAAATTTTCAAACAAAATTTTAAATTTTAAAACTCATAATCACGTATAATAATTCTCAAAATCACAAGTGTCGATGTCATAAATTATTTCAAAATAGTTTTAAAAAGTACTTACTTAAATCCAGGATCCTCGTTCATGACTCTTTTCTCTTGTGTGTGTACAATCGAGCTGTCGCATTCCTGCGATTCTGATAATAACCTGAAACACATAACACAACACACGGTAAGCAGCTTAGTGAGTTCCCCAAAATACCACATACAACAAATTCGCCACTCGAGGCTATACTTTGTAGGACCCTCCGGTCCATGTGTCTCAGCGGGACCCTCCAGTACCGTAGCTCGTTGGACCCTTTGGTCTGGTCTGGTTGAGCCTTCCAGCCTCATATATCGTTGGACCTTTCGCTTCGGTTTGGTTGAGCCTTTCAGCCTCAATAATCGTTGGACCTTTCGGTCCGATCTACAATAACACATAGCATAATATCACATAGACAAGATGCATATCTCAAGTAAGCACATATGACCTTCCAGTAACACATAAATACCACTCTAGGTAACGTATAGTGAGAAGACTCACATCAGGTAAACTCGGATGATCTCGAACCCGAAACACTAATCTAGCCTCCGCCTAATCACATACAGAAATTACCTATAATTAAAAATGGCTCTCAAAGGCTAGACCATTCCTTTCCTATGCTCTCTGAGAAGGGTAAAAGACGGTTTTACCCCTCTAATGGTCCAAAAGCCCACTTGTTGACCAAACCCTAAAAGTCAACGAAAGTCAACCCTCCGGAGTACGCGGCGCGTACCAGCTCTGTACGTTGGGCGTACTTATATGCTATACAGAATCGGGGACACTCGACCCTTACGCTGCGCGTATTGGGATTACACCCAGCGTACGCCCCAGTTTCACCAACTTCATGATTTTGCTGTTAACTGGTTAAGACATAAGCTCATATCCCAGATCTGGTCACTCTAATGCCTCTTAATCCACAAAGTCAGTGACTTTAAGCCTTTGTATGGCTGTAAAGGTCACTATCACCCAAAACACACCACTTTCTTCCTTAAAGAGCTCATATTTCATGCATGGCTCACTTATAATGTCCAAGATGGTATTTTTATGGATCTAAAATACAACATACACTGAAAAGGAACATATCAAGGTTTATAGATCTCCTTTACTCATAAAGTCTCCACCTTTGGGACAAAAATCCTAAAAATGGTCCATAATACACAAATACAAAAAGGTTAAGAAAGCTTTGAGCTTTTTACCTCCAACTGATGCTCCAACCTCTAAAAAGCTCAGATCCAAGGCTTGTATTCCAACTCTAGCTTTTTCAGTGGCACCCTCTTCTCTTCAAAGGCACACAAGAACACTATCAAGCTCAAACACGCACACACACACAAGCTCTAAAACGAGGGTTTGGCACTCTTAAGGTTTCACTCTCTGGAAATGGTGGCTAAAAGTAAGGCCAATATGTTCCTTTTATAGGGCTCACCCCCACAATTAGGGTTTCAATTAGAACCTAGTATGCACAACGTACACTATGGTACACCCAACGTACTGGGTAGCCTCCGCGTTAAGAACACGCTCCTGAGTACGCGCATCGTACCCTCCAATACGCCTAGCGTACTCAATTGCCATAAATTATTTCAAGGTCTAAATTTGATATCTTGAGGAAAGAAATGATCAAAGAGATAGACCTGAATTATGGGATGTTACACACACTGCCTATGTTCAACATTAGGTAGTACTTCTTTGACAGCCTCTAACAACCCATATACAACAATGGTAACATGTTAGATAAAATGAAACCACCAAGTACAATATTTAAAAGTAGGAAGTAAACAACATACCTTATGCAAGGTCATCTCTAAGGTTCACAAAAATCATTACAAATTTTCTTTATTTTCTACACAGGCAACTGCCCATGTAATTGGGAATATGTGATTATTGGCATCCTTTCCTACAACACATATTAACTCTCTAGTACATAACCCCTTTAAGATGCATCCATCTAAATTTATAACCCTTCTACAACTCCTTATCTATCCTTGCTTTAGCCCATCAAAACACAAGTAAAACTTTCTAAAATAATTCTTACCATATGGCATAGAATTCACATTTATTTTGATGTTGATCTTGGGTTTGATAT